CAAACTGGACAAGATAATGAATTGACTGAGATCATTGTTCCATCTTCATCCAAGAAAGCTGCCTCTAAAAAAAGATCTTAAATTGCTGTAGAAATCCAATTTGTAAGAAGCAAAAGAAGCATATAGATGGGAAACACCAGCATGATCACATTAATTTTGTGACTAACGGCAATGCTTTGAAGTGAAGAAGAAAAGATGACAAAAGTAATAAGTCCACTCAAATCCCCAATTTTATTCTAATAACACAACCAGAAGGAAACCAACTACAAATACAAAGTTCTCATCTTGGGGATCCAGCGGACATCACCCCCCGGCCCCTCCCCCTCCCACACACACACACACACAAAATAATTTTCAGCTAGTTACTAAGAAGCAAATTCCAATGCTAAGGAAATACTATAGGATGGTGATGAAAATTATACCAAGAACTCAGGAAACCAGGAACTTGACCTCAGTACAAACAGCCATGGAAAGTCCATGATTGATTGGTTTTGAATCTGCAGGTATGGGAAACTGACAAATAGTGTAATGAAAATCTTCAACTTACTGTAATTGAAAAGCTATACAAGAAAAGTCTCTCTGACAAACTACCATTCATTTAACCACCTAGTCAAATAAGAGCTGCAACATCACTAAAATATAGAAAGAAAGGCACAGTTTCCACTTTTTTGTGAGAACGTTCTCATAAACTATTGGCTCATATATAAAATACATAAAGTCACAACCGTCTTCTAATTTACAGGCAATTTATGGATATCGGCAATTTACATTCAAAAAACAGTTGCCTTAAAGATACTATCAAGTGAGCAAACTTGTTTACTCTGAGTAAAGTTGAAAAATAAAAATCATTATAAATCAGTCCGGATTTTAAAATAACAGATTTATATAAAATGCTACAAAGGAAAATGAGAAAATTTATAGAGAAGCATAGATAGGTTCTTTTACTGTTTTCTTTTTAAACTTTAAAACTAAAGTAATAGTTGATATTTAATCAATAGCATCCTTCTTCAGGAGAATACACATTTAGATTTGAATGTGGAAAATGTTTTTGTTTTATTCTTAATTTTTAGGTTTCTTATTTAAGAATCCCTTCCTTATTAAAACTTAAGTACTTACTAAAGTACTTAAAAGCTCATGGAATAAGGGAATTCTTACCTGACATATTATTTAACACGCTTTGTAGCTCCCCTACTGCAGTTCACATGTTCATAAACATTATTTTGCCCAGGAAATAATGGTCTTATTCACACACACACACACACACACACACACACACACACACACACACACACCGCACTTCCACACAAAATGCTACCAAGTCCCAGGAAACTGACAAAAGCAACATTAAAATTCAGTGCAAAGTAAGAATCCCATGTCTGAATTCTATCTATGAAAATACAAGATTGGCCTCATTTAACCAACTGCAAAGCTCCCTTTCTGCTTAAGAAGCATCATAAACATCATCTTACCATTATCTGTAGAATAAAGTCAGCAATGTGTCGCTTCCTGCAGTTACCAAATCAAGTTTTTTCTTCCTTTCTTTCTAGTAACTTCTTTTTCACCGGCAAGATTATGAAGAAATAAATCTGAGTATTTGCCTCAGTATTTCAGACCACGAAAAAAAAAAAAGAACAGGTCTGGTATTTTACAATCACTTCTGCAACTCAGAGGTACCTCCTGGACTCGCGTACCTCCTTTCCTCCCTCGTTCTCTACGTTTCTTTTAGTAATGAGACTAATTTTTCCAGTAGCCTTGAACTCCCTTGATTTAACTGACATGGAAAATGTGACTTAAAACTTGCAGGACTGTCTAGCCTCCAACCCTACACAGAATCAACTTTGTTGTAAGTGTTGAAGAACACCTCGCAAGCAGCTACTTGCTTGCTTAGACTCCTGCACTGCACAACACAGAACACCAAATAACAGTGCGCCATCTAGTTAGCAAGCTGCATTCTCCAGTCTAGAAGGGGGGACACCTTCAAACCCTGGGAGTTAAGGACTTGTCAGGGTTCAGCTGCTCCAATGGTCCAATTGTTTATTTAAATTAAGAAAAAAATATCGCTACTGAGATAATCCACATCTAGTGGATATGGGAAAATTTAGGTTATAATGGCACTACAAACTTTTACATCTAACTTTGATTTACAAGATAAAAGCAAGTTTTAAATTAAAAGGGCTTTCTGTTAATAGAGCTTATTATTCTGAAGACGGGAATGATTTTCTTCGAAAGTTGTCCCTGGGTGCATGCCTATTATCTTTGCTTTTCCCCTTCCACTAATGAGCATTTATCTAAAGAGCCTGTTAATCCTCTGATGTGTGCTTCTGGTCAGAGGTAACAGTTTGAATAAAACCACTAATCACTGATCACTAAATCACTGATCATTAATCACACTCTCCAGTGTCAGTGACCTGGGCCATTTTTTCTTTTAGGTCTATGCTTCACAAACAAGAAGTTTAACATTTTAGATGCACATGTATTGTGTGGGGGTTATATACTATTTTATCTGTAGATGTGAATAAATAATAAATACTGCCTCAAACTTGAGGAAAGATTGTCAATTAGACCCCAGACAGGAGGTTCACAAATGCCTACTCTGAAGCATGGTTTTCGCTTTAAAGAAAGTAGATCTGATTATAACAAAACGTGTTCTTCAAGAAATTCCCACATACTCAGAATATAAATTTTCCTTTATTTAGCTTTCGCCCATTCCAAATCAAAGAGCACCCAAATCCTTTGCCCCCTCCATCCAGACCCTGTTTTAGTAATTTTTTATTTGATTTCTGCTACACACACCCCCCAAGAGTTTTTACTTTCACCCCTTAACCATGTCACACACAGTGTTTTCATTTCAACTGCCAGATACGGAGTTCTGACTCAATTCAATAAGGTATGTATTTAAGTCGTTCTTTAAATACAGAAACTTACGGTTAAGAGAAAGAAAGTAACACACTCAGCAATTCATTGTATGGTACTTTGGGTTTAACGACTCACATTCCCTCACTTTGGAAATGAAACGTTTAATCTTGATCCTTTCAGCTAAATTTGATTTAGTCAGCATCCTCACTCCTTCCCTCTTTGCTAAGAGGTTGGAGAAAGGCGCTATGTAAAATTAAGAACTTCGTTTGCAGTGGGTGTGTTGTTTTCCTAAGTCACCACAGGGACAGAGTATTATCATAACGTCTCTAAACATTTCCCAAGATGCCTTTTCTGTCAGGGCTGAGCATTTTCGCCCTGGGGAAGAGGGCTTGCTGGTGCCTTTCCTAAATAATAGAAAACGGCAGATTGTGCCTGCGCTAATCAGGTACTCTGCTCCCCCAGACATCAGAAGCTCTTACCCACACTCCAGGGACAGTGAGCGCCCCAGGGAAAGCAGTAAAAGGCGGAGGCGGGGCCAGAGTGATAACCGTGTGGGCGGGAGAGGGGGTGGAGAAGGAAGGGTCCCAAGGAGAGGGCAATAAAGATGCCCAGGGAACTGGCGATTGTACAAGTATGTTGGGGGCTGCGGGTGGAAAGCAGAGTTGCTTTGTCAGCATTTCTAAGCCCCCGAACCCTTGAGTATCTGAAGCTGTTAATCAAACACTTATTGGCCTGCAGAATGACGTAATGGACCTGTATCCAGCCTTTATTCCTTGACACATGTCAGAGAGGGAGGGAAAAATAAAAATCAAACACACTCTGCTCTGCGGACTCTGACAACAAAATATACAAGCAACCCACTCCAGTTCCTGGCCTTGGACAAGCATCGAGTGGGGGCGGCATCCGTTCAGGGCAAGTTGGGGAGGGGTGGACCACGTCTGGGGTTTTATCTA